GTTAAAGTGACCTTACTTAACTTCATGATCACACCACTCGGTCTAGAGGACCAGCTTCTTGGTATTGTGGCTGCTAAAGAGAAGCCTGAGCTTGAAGAAAAGAAGAATGAACTGATCGTCGAGGGAGCGAAGAATAAGAAACAGGTAACTCGTGGATTGTGTGTGATAAAATTCGTGGATTTCATGTGTAAAACTCGTAAATTTTGTATTAGCAACTTTTTCGTTTTATTAATTATTTCTATTTATTTTTCAGCTTAAAGAAATCGAGGACAAAATTCTGGAGGTTCTATCGTCATCCGAGGTACGTATACAAAAACAACACGGAAATGTCTTTGTAACATGTTGAAATTTGTCAAATTGAGGTTGAATAACTGTTTATTAATTTCCAGGGCAATATTCTTGAGGACGAAACGGCCATTAAGATTCTCTCTTCTTCTAAAGTTCTCTCTGAAGAAATTTCTGCTAAACAGGTCAGTCAGGTTTATTAGCACGGCTTATGATGTCATTACACGTCGCGAAGTGCATCATGGTATTGATGAGAGTATCAAGATGGAGGTCGTCCATGAAAACTACGAAAGACGATTTTTTTTCTTAAATAAACTTGACCATTGTCGGGGATGTCATAGAAAGGGAAATTAGAAAAATTGTTAGGAACAGCCTAAAACATGAAGTCTTCTCTCTGTACTGCCCTCTTCTGTCGTGCGTTTCATTACGTTATTAATTTATGAAAAAGCAGGCAATTGACTTTTGGTACTTTTTTGATAGGAAATTGCCACAGCTACAGAACAAGAGATCGACGAGACTCGTAATGGATACCAACCTGTAGCTACGCATTCGTCTGTGTTGTTTTTCTGTATATCTGACTTGGCGAACATTGAACCTATGTACCAGTACTCGTTAACATGGTTTATTAACTTATATCTACAGGTGTGTTAATGAATTAACCTCTTACATCGATCATTCTTTTATACCGACCATCACTTTAAACCGAAAATTTCTTCGGACTGACCAACTCTCCGTAATTATTACGTATCTAAAACTCCCAGTAAGAACGACCATTTCTCTTGAGCAAGCGCCTCGTAAACCAATTTAATATATGGTTTATGCATAAAGTATCACTTTAAACTGACCATCGCTTTAGACCGACCATCACTTTAAACTGACCATCCTTTTAAATCGATCATCCCTTTAGACCGATCGTCCGTTTAAAACGACCATCACTTTAAACCCATAATCACCTTAGACCGAACATTTTCTCGGACCGACCAACTCTCCACAATTATTACGTCTCTAAAACCACCAGTGACAACGACCATTTCTCTTGACCAACCATCTCTTAGACCAACTTAATGTATTAAGTATCTTATGCTAGAAATCAGTCACTGGTCATTTCTAATGGTCTATACCTTATATTTCAGTCAATAAACAACAGCAAGCGATCATCTGTTCTCGAAGAACGCATCGAGTACTTGAACGATCACTTCACACAGAGCATATATTCGAACGTTTGTCGATCTTTATTTGAGAAAGATAAACTTCTTTTCTCGTTTGTTCTTACTGTGGGGATCTTAAAAAGCAGGTAAATTATTATACATGCATCAAGAGTTACGGAGAAAAATGCGTCCGCCATCTTGAAAAGTGAGACCCGAATCACTACGTCGTTGTGCTATTGTGACATTTCGTAGCTGTTAAGTCAACATCCATTATTATATCGTATTATATTAACTTGACATTAGCTTAGAATCTTAATTTCTTTAGGAGTTATAATGTAGTGATTCGAGTCCCACTTTTCAAGATAGCGGACGCATTGTTCTCCAAACCTGTTGATGCATGTATTGTATACAGTCAACACTTGTAAACACCTCGATAATAAGGACACAATGCTAATGCGAACACTTATAAATGTTCTCAGCTCCAAAGAAATGGCTAAAATAACCTCCTTTACAGCGACCACTCGCTTTTGATGACACTAAACTGTCTGTAGTCTCTGTTGTGTTAATGTTTTCAAATCACAATAATGATGTACTTTTTTGCGTCCTCTTAAGGAATAAAATCGACGATCAAGTGTGGCGGTTTTTCCTTACTGGTGGTGTAGCGCTGGARAATCCATATCCCAATCCTTGTCCTGAATGGCTGCTTGATAAGAGTTGGTCTGAGATCGTGCGTGCTTCAGATTTACCAAATATTAAAAACCTTAAAGACGGTAATGTAAAAAAAACATATTTTACGTACTGACTGCTTGCATTACGTTATGTTACTTAAGATAGCCATTGGGATTGTCCCGTTTATTTACGCTAAGTTATGTTGCTTACGTAACGTTAGAACAATGTTATATAATAATTTACTTACGTTTTTAAATTACGCAATGTTTCTTACGTTAATATCTTAAATACACCTTTAACTTGCACTGGGATGCATTGCGTTTTTTGCTTACGTTACGTTAAAACTGGTGTCATATACGTTATTATATTAAATACACCTTTAACTTGCACTGGGATGCATTGCGTTTTTTGCTTACGTTACGTTAAAACTGGTGTCATATACGGTTTTCTTGCTCTACGTTAAAATTCTTACGTTGATTCTCGCTACAGATATGGCGGATCCTGGTTGGAAAACATTCTATGATTCATCCACGCCTCAGACGGAAAAGATGCCTGATCCATGGGACCTCTTGTCTGGATTAGACAGGTAATGATTGTCAAACGGATCATGAATTTACCAACGTTTGCCGTTGTCTTTTACGGTTCTCASGGCAGTCATTATATTTTTGTATATTTTGTACCGACTTTTCAAGATACTCTCTTTAAGCATTGGGAGACGTTTTCCATATTTCTATTGTCTATTAGAAACACGCGGAAATGTTGAGAGAACACGAGGAAGGATTTGATTCAAGAGCGATTGAAAACCATTTCTCGTGTTCTTCCAGCAATCTCAAGGGTTTCTAACAGAGAATAGAATCATGGAAAATATCTTCTAATGCTTTAATTTATAAAACAACAACTCTTCTCCTTGAAAGACATGTTTCTTGTGCTCTTTTAGAAAGACAGTTTTGTTTGCACATTTTAACCAATCAGTGCACGTGTTATATAATAGTTATGTTAGAAATAGTGATGTATTCTTATGCGATGTATGTGTATCATGTAGGATGGTAGTACTGAGGTGTTTAAGACCTGATAAAGTCGTCCCTGCCGTTCAGGTAATTGCTGTGCATAAAGTCACTGAAACAGAACAAACGTCATGGANTTGATTGATTCAATGGTTGGTTGATTGATTCAATGGTTGGTTGGTTGATTGATTGATTGATTGATTGATTGATTGAATGATTGGTTGATTGATTGATTGATTGAATGGTTGGTCGATTGATTCAATGGTTGGTTGATTGGTTGTTTGGTAATGCGACTGAATGGAGTTCTACACGATAAATTTACCATTCTATTTATTGATTAATTCGATTGATAAATAATTGATTAATTAATGATTAATTCACTCATTTATTAATGTATTCAATAACTGGTTCACTGACACAATGATTTCGCTTTCAGATGTTCCTCAATGAGTACGATGAAATAC